GGACAGTGAGAAAAGCCTAATGAATCAAAACCATGTCAATACAACTAGAAGTTACAGTAATGTAATGAATGAAATTGCGCTCGTCTCCAAAGCGGAAGGTCTGGGTTCTAGCCTTGGTTCGGACACATATTTTTTTCGCCCCCTCCTGCACACCCAGTAGTAATGGGCACCTGACTTTGAGTTGGGGAAGTAAAGGCGGCATGGAAAGGAACTGGCCACCCTACCACAATATGCTGAAGGCCCAGGAAGTTGTCTCACTAACAAGTCAATCCTCAATGTCCAGATCAGATGCCGGAACAACTTTACTTTACTTTTTAATGAATGAGATGAAATGGTTTTCAACATTTCATTAATAATCATGCAATTAGACTCACAGTAGGCCTTAAGTTGACTATGTACACATTTTATGACGTGTGCAGGAGAGAAAGGGGAAAAAGCTAGATGCATTTTGGTGTTGGTGCAAATCCAGTCAGTGACATACCGTGCCCTTGGTCTAGCACATTGTTGTCACCCATTTGGATGGTGAGACTTCACATGTGAATAAATGACTAAATAAAAAGTAGCCACTGGGCTCTAAAATCTATAGATCCTACATTTCCCAAACGTGGTAACTATTCGGTTGCAATGCAAACAGTGTAAAGCACAGACGGAGCAGTGCCACTGACTGTGAGTGTCTTTAGGCCATTCCCAAAGGGGGGACATTTCTCGTTCAAGTGCAGTAGAAAATGGGCTGATTCATGTCACGCTCATAACTGTGCATGATCTACAACAGGGAACTGCTGCTTTTTCCTAATCCTTACTATAGTCATTTTCCTCTACTTCTTTTGTATGTTTGTCACTCTCTTGTGACCTGTTATTTACGGGGTGCCTTGATAATTGAAGCAGACCTTGTGCTGTTGAAGCTAGAGAGGTGGGCAGAGTGGGTCTGATTCCCTGTAAAGACTTCTCTGTTAACACCCACCCCTTGGCGCTCATATATGACCTTATGCAGTTGCGAGTGCAGTAAAACCCTCTACTATAATAATAAACAGACTGAGAAGGCTGTAGACTCGGAGGAGCATGAATGACGTACTCAGGGACAGCTCAAGGGGCTAATAAAAGGGCATGCACAATCAGGCTATAATGGGTTGAAGATAGTCAAGGTTGTATAGGCCTTGGCCTATTAAATGAGATCATGTTTTATTTTAATCTTTGGGCTGGTGAGGACCTAATTCTTTCACTTTCATTCTCTCTTTGTCACTGTGACTTCGAGGCCTAAATCTATTCGTTAGCTAAAAATCAACTTCATTCATCCTGCATCGGAACTGACCTCTCAATTCAATAAAAGTCAAAGGCCCTACTAACAGTGACCCAAGTATGTCACATTGACCTCGCTCAAGCTCAGGGTCACAGAGGCGGGGCAAGACCTAAAATAATAATCGCTTAAGCTTGCCATTGCCTCAGTTAGTCCGAATAGGGGTTTTTTTGGCTTAAATTACTTTAGTCCGAATAGGGTTTTTTTTGGCTTAAATTACTTAAAAACAAGAGGGCACCGCCCACTGATTACGTGCTTGAATTGGTGATTTAGAATAAAGACTGGAACTGGCGATGATCCTCCAAAGCTCCACTAGATCTAGATCTAGTACTAGCATAACAATTTTGGAGAAATAATCAAAGTCATTTCGTCACACATAATTGAGGTGTGACGAGGTGACGGAGTGACGAAATGACCGATTTCCAATCAGTAGACAACAGTTGTAACGCTTGATCCCCTTCTAGATCTACTATAACAGGGTTCAGCTATAACAGGATCATGTTTGTCCCAGTGATCCTGTTCTGGCCGCGGACTACTGTACCGGATACGGAATGCTTTGAAGGAGTGTGAGAGTCTCTGTGCACAACAAGCCTCCACCCCAGTCAGGTCAATAATACCGGGTGTCTATTTGGGGATCGGGTCTGGTCAAGGCCATATTTGCTATCCAGATTGAGAGTGCAAAGCAGCTAGGAAGTGGCTATTCTCACCCTGGGTGGGAATAAAAATACAATTGACCTCTCACCCCAGGTGAGACATTGCTAGCTTTCTCTCTCTCCTTATATATCAGATCTATCTCTCCTCCCCCCCCCTCACTGCCCGCAGACAAAATTGCACGCTTTCAATACAAGAGCGCTGGAACGTTTGTACACTGGTAGGTAAGATTGTACTTTTTACCGGACCACCGGTAGCCGCCGGTCGGAACTATTTCAGCTATGGTGCCCCTGCTGCCTAGTGGTCCGCTATTTTTCCTTTCAGAGCTCCCCTACTCACTTTCCTACGTCTTCACTCTTCGACTGTACAATGGAAGGCAAGAGATGCGCACGAGCGCTCATTAATTGCAACCCCCTCGGTTCTGCTCACGACTCGGCGAGTGCTGCATAGCAAGGCTCGGCCTGTTCCAACTTTCATTACCCTGATTGTCCACTTAACGCCATGGTCCGCTCATGTTATTGTTTTGCACACGTGTTTTTTTATATTATTGTTGCCAGGGGGTAAGCCCCCTGACCCCCCCCGAGGTTAAGATACACGGTGGGTCCACCAAAGTTAAATCCCCTACCCACCCTCAACCACCACCTCTCGCTCACCTCCCCTCGCCGCTGCTTGCGCTCTGCGCAAAGTCGCCCGCGGAGCAACCTCTTGTCCGCACGTAGAGAAAGTCTATGAGTGCGTAGTTAGGCTAGGCGCGCGTAGCAAATCACAGGCCCAGACGGTATGTCCGGTAAAAGTACAATCCAGCCCACTGGTACAATTAGAAATCTATGTATCACAGTGAATGCATATAGGCCTAGTATATAGGCCTACCGGGTGAGAATAGCCAAAACTAAAAGGCTCGACCTTTCACCTGAAGTAAAACCCCCCTACTCTGACTCTTGTGCCCAAACCGGCGAAAAATAATTGGAGGGGGGGGGGGGGAACTGCCAAAAAAGTGCCATTCCTTGCTTGGATTTTCTGGCAATTCAGGGTCTCTAGCGTTCAGCTTTGGGCGCTTTTTCGGTAGTTCCCACCCCGCAATTGTTATTCACGGGTTTTGGCCCCAAGAGTAGGGGGGTTTCGGCGCTTTTTCGGTAGTTCCCACCCCGCATTTGTTATTCACCGGTATTGGCCCCAAGAGTAGGGGGGTTTCAGGGGGGCTTGCCCCCCTGACCTAATAAAAACATGGTGGGGGGTTTCAGGGGGCATGCCCCCCTGAATTTTACCACAATTTAATGTTTTGCAGTTGTTAGGTTTGATATCTTAGCTTGCCGCGAACCAAACGTATATAGGTCTAGATGTAGGTCAGGCTCAATCAAATAAGGGGGGTGGGAACTACCGAAAAAGCGCCGGGGTTTCAGGGGGGCTTTAATGTTTTGCTGTGCTGTTGTTAGGTTTGATATCTTAGCTCACCGCGAATCAAACGTATAGATCTCGATCTAGAAAATCTAGATGTAGGTCAGGCTCAAATAAGGGGGGTGGGAACTACCGAAAAAGCACCCAGCTTTGGACTTTAACGAACGAAACTACAAAATCACAACGAGAATCTATCGTGGCACAAGCCGATCGCGCCCGATTTGCAGACTCAAAACAAAGGCAAAGGCCCAAAACAAACGTGTTTGTTTTCAGGCAACGAGTGGAGCGATCGACCTTGACCCGGCCCGATCCCATCCGCAATGGGCACCCCGTACACGGCGTATAATTTAAAACACTCATCAGCATGATCATGTGTTTATTGCCAGAGGCCTTCAGTTAGACTATATCTATCATCTCATCAGCAGTCATCACCCTCGCCTGTCTCTGATTTTGCAGGTGTAAAGTCAGAGTCTCGACAAGCACACTAGTTCAGAGGTCCATGCCATAGATCTAGAGAAATATACAATTTCTTCTTAAATATACCTTTTCTTACCTTAAAACACAGGCGTCTAGGCAGTCTATGGATGTACTATGGGCTTCACAGTAGGCTACTTAGTAAGAGATGCTAAATTTGCCGGTGCCGTTCTCTGATCCACCAACTGAAGAACGAACGAATCGATCTGTCCGGATATTGTGCCACCGTTTTACCAGGTTGTTCGCCTTTCGACGTAGAGGTTCTCGTTGGCAAACACAAAATAATGGTTCTATAAGCTTTTATGTAAATATATAATATGCCAATTTGGTTACGGAAAATATTTCTACTTTGCTGAATTCAAATATACTGCATAATGACATATTTCTAACATTTTTAAAAACTTTTAGATAATGAACTATCTGTCTCCAGACAAACAGGCATACAAAGTCGTACCATAAAATCGTCGCATTGTCGATAGAAAAGGCCAAGGTCAACATAAAATTAACAAGAACCCCAGATTAAAATTATTGGATAGGAGATATATATAGTTATAGAGATCTAGATCTATATGCTATTTCCTCTCCATTGAATTACTATTTCTCGCCTAGAATGCAAAAAATGTAGTAAAACATACACAAAACGACAGGGTTTCCATGAGTAAGCACCCCATGCCCTCTTCGAATATTTCCTATTAGCCTTAAAAAACCCGTTCTTTATGATGTTAATGTTAACATTGTTAGGGAAAATAGTTCAACGAATTTATTTTTGTGATGTATGACAAACTAGAAAATATTGCTAAAATCGAGAGAAATGTTTCCCCTCCACATCACTTGTTTTGTATGGTTGATTTTTGATAATTCATATCGGCTGATGTTGTTTAGAAGAAATTCTGTACACCAAAAATGATTCATCTACTGTTTCAGTTTCAAGTAGATTTAGATATCTAGTCAATCTAGGCCTTGTTTCAATAAATAAACATTAAGAAAAGATTATTCAATTCAAATATGACAACTATTAATATTTCTTTAGGCAACCTAAAAAAGTCTTAAAGTCTGAGATTCCCGACCACCCTCTTTCTATGAAGTTGCACAACAACAAAGTATAATTTATTTCGCCTTAGCCTATGTGCCATGCTAAAGTGCGAGTCTACTTTCAACATGCTCGTTGTTAGGTAGGCAAGAAATCGGTCACATGACCAAACAAAAATGGCTGCCTGTCTCTCTTTCTCTACCATTGGAATGTGGAATAGAGGTACGTCACAAACAGGTACAGAATTACCGCTAGCCAGTCGTCTTTTTCTTTTACATTCGTTTCCTCTCAGATTTAATAAACTGTTTTAATCTCAGTACTAGCCATTTGTTTGTCTGAACCCGTTGAATTTCAATCTCAGTTCAGAACTCGATGACTGAATTGAACTTCTGAACTGAACAGAACAGTAGTTCATCTTCAACTGCTCTTTCAGCTCTCCAGCTCATTCCTTTCACTTGGAAATACTGTTTTACATGAAACAGTAATTCAATTATGGCTTAGATTCTAGTTGAAACCCGAATGGCGTTGAAAGCAGCGTTAGTAGACTGCTCTCCCTAAGAATAAGATAGCCTATATACTACAATACATGGTAGGCCCTTCTATCTATGATGTATTAATTCTTCAAAGTCTGATAGTGATATCCTTGCCTGGAACCAACTTATTAACATTACAGTAGGCCTCTATAATTGTAGATTATTCATTCTTCAAAGTCTGATCCTTGCCTGAAACCAAATTAAGTTATAATGACTTTGATTAATTCTGATCTTAATTACCGTTTTCTTTTCTTTCAAGTATTCCTCTACAACTGGTAACAACTACCCTCCAACCCTCATTCCCTATCAATGATTACATCACTTATACCTATAGCCTAGATATCTATATATAGGCCAGCACGCAGATTTTAACGAGTTCCTTTATTAAATGCTTGATCTGGTTTAATTGTTTCTTTTGTTCATTAATTGTTTGTGTCTGTGTACATTCCACTTAAAGTGATTATAATTCTTAACAAATGAAAAGAGCACCTGTTTTATGTATGCACAAAATTATGTAACATGTTCAGCAGCTGATAATCCACTTCAGTTGCCTTTTTCCTTTTTCCATGCATACAGTCTAGAGTAATATTGTGTCACGATGTGGTGGAATCAGGTCATGCTCATCAATTTTTTGGCATGTCATGGAGTTATTCGTAATATATAGATCTATAAAGTTATCATTTGCTTTGCTTTCAATGAAAAAAAAATACTCATCTATAATCTTGAATTGAAGTCGAGATATTTGCGATTGGAGGACATGAGGTCACTGCATCCGGTTTCAGTGGTAAAATTAGCGAGGAACATGGTCACCAAAGTTCTGTAATTTCAATAGCATGAGCCAATTTAAGAGTCCTTGAAAGCTGAAAAATTGTAAATTTTCTTCCTTTATTGAATGTTTTGGAGTCAAATTCACATGGAAATGGGTTTTTATATATGGACAAAAAAGACGTTGAGCCAAAAACCAAAGATTTAAAAAAAATTTGCCAATAAGCAGTTGGAAAAAGGCCAGCTTCTTCGATTTCATTATTTTGAGGAACACTTGATTGCACCACGATGCCTCTCAATTGTTATCTTTGTTTCATTTTGTTTGTTTCATTGTTAGTGGGTGAATGGCAAATGCTCTGATGTGGCGTGTACTCTCTTTCTATCAAATATCTATCATCCCTAGTCCCTCCTCTTTTTTTTTCTTTAGATCTTACTCGAATTAAAACCTCTATCCTCTGCATTTAAAATTACCTATATATTTGTGTTGCAAGTGCTTTAGAAGTTTTACTAAAATTAAAACCAAACTAAAACTAACTAAGTTCTGTGTTGTTGTTTGTCTTTTGGGTTTTTTTTTTT